TACCTGTCATTTTCTTTCCCATCCTCTTAACACAGCTCATGTCCCCCAGATCCTTTATATTTCCTAAAATCCTTAAGATTTTTTTTCAGTATGTAAGGACTTTACTTGGCCCAGTCTGTATTAGATTTAGCAACTGGACTCTTATGCTTTACATTCCTGTTCCTAGGATTGAGCAGCTTGTTTACTGAGATGATGTAAGTGATCCCAGTGGTTTTTATTGGCAATGGAAGACACACTGAATATTCAAAGCAAACAGAATTGATTTTAAAGAATTCAAAAAAGTAACCACTGTGAAACTTGTGAGACTTGAAACATTTCTGAGTGATTTTTCTGCTTTGTGATTCGCTTTTCTGGTGTAAACCTTTTTTAATGGCCTGATGCATATATCTTCTTTGCTAAACCTAAAGCATCTACCATAGTTTTTTTTCAAAAGAGCAAAATTGATTTTATAGTTATGTTAGTCACCTCTCCTTTTACAGTTAAAGAATAATAATTTAAATTTACATTATGCTGTTTCCTCCTGGGGCTTCACATAGGCTTCCCTCTAATAACACCAGCCTTCCAGAAATCCCATCATCTGAAACTGTGAAGACTATAAAGAAGAGATTAAATTTCAAATCATTATTGATATTCCTTACATAGAACATTGAAGCATGTTCTGATAGCATATGCTTTTTTTTTTGATTGAAAACTAATAATTAATATGATCACTGTTTGTGGGATTCTTCTGAATGACAAAGCGGAGATGAAGAGTCCCACAAAGCCAAAACTATGTGTGCACTAAATTGATAGCTTTCAGAGTATCACCATTGCTCACTACAACACATTGGTCAAAAGCAAATATTATGGAGTCCACAGTCTTGTATAGAGTTTTTATAGATGTGATAGGAATGTGGTCTTGTGGAGGGTAAGACCCATATGTTTTCATTTAGATAATTTCTGGTAAGCTTTTAAATCTTGTTGAAGACCTTGCTAAGCTTGGTTTTGAATGATCAGTTGGGAAACATTTAAAGCATTGCTCTATTAAAATAGTATCTGTTGTAGAGATTGAATTTGGCAATTATAAAGAGAAATAAATGTGAGGGGGGAATGCAAGAGTTCAAAAAGGTAGAAATCAGTTTGTAAAACTCATTCTGATTGTAGCCACATGAAAGAAGAGAGATAATGTGGTAGTGTATTCACATTGCGTCCTGTGCTTGCAGAAATGTCATGACTAATGAAGCTATGCTTTTTTTTTTCATGAAAAATTTATCATCCTATGGTAAGCCTTGCTGTGGAAATTTTTTCTTGACTAAGAATGTATTTGAGATGTACTATGTTAGAGATGAATCCAGCAAAGAAGATACTCAGTATGTAAAATTTCCATGTACATAAGGAGTCCGTTTGCTTTTTAGTATTCTTTGAGGAAATTTCGCAGGCTGTTCAGAACCTGATAACCTGGAACTTGAACTTTTGTCAAGTGTCTTCTTATTTTTCTTTGTCCTCTTGTAATGACACACTTATCACTACCCACTAAATGGAATAAATAGATATATCTGAAAATATATTTCTATAGTCTTTCCAGAGATCAATAATGACAACTACAAAAGCATGGTATCCCCATTGTAATGGGAAGAATGGGAAGTGAGTGCCAAGGTCACTTAGACTTGTATGTTCCAAAAAGACAATTTCTGTTTTGTTGATATGTCATGATTTCACTTGGCACAAAATCTGTCCAAAGAGGCCAAAGTATTGGATCCATTGCTTCAATACACTTTGAGAAAACTTTGATTTTAAGTTTCTGCCAGGTAAAGAAGTTTCTTTTCCTTAGTCTAGTCCTTACACGAATTCCATGCTTCCTTCAAAACAAGTTCTAGTTACAGGTCTTGCTTTGGGCAGTTTTGTAAGAGTAAGTTTACAGGTCTTGCTTTGGGCAGTTTTGTAAGAGTAAGTAAGAGATAGTTTTGGATGTTTGGGGCAAGAATGGAGCATCTGTCTTATGTGGCTCACTTAAAAATGAGTGTGTGTGAATAGTTTCTCTAAAACATGATCAAGAGCATCTCTGCTATGTTTCCTGCTCTGACTCACCACTGTCTTAATTGGTGTAGAGGAAGACAATCTTCCTAATTCAGGTATTTAAGAAAGTTGTCATAAATTAGGCAGTTTGAAAACTCTCATCTGTAAGTATTAGCTAAGCTCTTTTTTCCCACTGGATAATTGTTTTATCTTTCATAAAGTATGACTTGGTTTTAGCCTTTATGCAACTGCCATTACAATAATATCCATAGTTTTTACTCTTTCAGGTAGTCCCACTTAGCTCAGTGAAGATTATTTGTAAGAATAATGTCTATTGAACTTGGTTCTGTATTTGGTTTCTATAACTCAGTCCTTTTTTGTGTGTTATGCATGGATGTTTTTTTTTTTTCTCTTGAACATCCCTCTTAATGAAACCACTACTTTTTTTTTGCTTTTTTAATTTTTTTATTATTTTTTTTTTTTAGCTTCAGTCTTTCTGCTAGTCTTGCACTAGGAAAGGGGAATTACGTTGTAAGGGATAAGTTATCACCTTTTCCTGCTCTTTCCTGATTTATTTATAACTACTTAATTAATCTAGTATTTCATAAAACCTTTTTCATAAGTCTTTCATAAAACCAAATTTTTTTAACTTTGAATTAGAATCAAATTAAAATTTGGGTTCCTTTTAATCTGTATTTGCAATGTTACTGCTGCTAGCTTCCAGAGGGTCTCTTAACAGTCCAGAATTTTTGGTGTGGGATCTTTTAATGGATAAAACCATTTTTCAAATTTTCCTGAATGACATTTTTTTCTAACCTGCACTCCAAAATGAAATGTATTTAGTGGTCTGAGTCCTGACCCTGGTGAACAGCAGTCTGCATTACAAAACAGACACAGAACTGGTGGTTTCTGCTTGGGGACACTCAGACCCAGTCAGCGTGGGGGCACAATTACCTCACACCCCAGGGAGCGCTTTCTGAAGGTGAAGACTGAGGTCATTCATCAGGCAATAGGGAAAACCATCTCTTGTGAAACTGGTCTCTACACCAGCCAGAGAGAACATTTCCCAGTGCTGTGGCCTCATGCTTCTCTCTGGTTAAGAGGTTTTATAATCTGGGATCTCCTAGACTGCCTCAGTTACATGTGCCATTTACTTTGTAGTAGAATATGGAAGCAGTGATTTGCATTTCAGGGTGGTGATTTTAGCAGGTAATTTTTGGAAACAGTTTACCTTAATTAAGGTAAATTCCTGATTCTGCTACAGTTATTACGTATTTTGCCTTTTGTTGGAGAGCTAGAGCAATTAATACACCAATTTATGTTCCTTAGTACATTACTGACTGTAACATCTACTCATTAAGATGCTTTCCTGAGAGTTACGTTGACACTGAAGTTGAGGGACTTTAAGTGGCTGTCATCTTTGTGCCAAATGGATTAAAACAAAAAATGCACAGCCCTTCTTGGTAGATCAGTGCTCAGTTTCAGTTGGGTCATACTAGGTTAATAGGACAAAATATCAGGTTTCTTTTTATGGCTTTTTTTCTCTTTTGATTTAAAAAAAGAAAAAGCAAGGTTTGGTTTTGTTCATATCTTTACCTACTACTCAAAACTGTGTGTGAACCTTTTTATTTTGGAGCACAGTAACACAATTTAGATAACCTCATACCTGTATTAAATTAACCATAAGTGAAAATTCAAATTAATCAAATTATTTTTTTTCCATCTGCTGTGTAAATAAGCCTTAAACCTCCAGTGGTTACTTAATAGGGGAAGTGGCTTAACAGGAGGAATGAATACAGGGCTATCAGTCTGAATTAGCCAGAGGGGACATAGGTAGAATAATTATTTGGGTCAGGGCCATGAAGGAGGCTGCTCTAAAAGCCCATTCCCCTTTACTTTTTATAACATTGGAAGTAGAAACAGGGAAGTTTTTTTCAAAAGCTGGCATAAGCAAAATCTCTGGGTTGGAGAGAGGATGTAGAAGGAAGGAGGAACATGCTTCTGGGATGGGCAGTGGTGGGAAAAAAAATGCTTGAGAGTCCAGGAACTTTGTTGGAACCTCCAAAAAAACAGCCTGTACTGGCACCAAAAAGGTGAGCTCCCTTCTGAGCTCACGTTAATTAATGTTTTAAACATTAATGTTTTCTCCTGTCTGCAGATTGGGATGGTCACAATACACCTCTTACCTTCAGCTTACTTTTTCCAGGTTGTTTTTTGGGGATTTTTGTTGTTTTTTTTTTTATTTTGGTTTGGTGTGGCTTTTTTTGTTCTGTAACTGCAAAGAAAAGAATGAATGTATTTTTGAAACACTCTGAAAGCTTTGACTTGAGCACTGGTGGTGGCACAGGCCACAAAGACAAGCTTATCGTGAAGATAATTGCAAATATTGGAGTGAGGAGAGAAAAAGGAATCTTGGCTCACCAGTGGGCTTGAGTTTATTGTCATACTTCGAGGAATATGTCAGCTGGAGATGTCAGGGGTTTTTTTGCATACCTCCACCCTTTGCCATCACATTTCATGATCTCTCTAAGCTCTGTGCAAAAGCCACAGCTCTGGTACACCTTGGTCAGGCGGTGTTGGGAATCTCATTTGATAGCAGGTATTTCTACTCTTCTCTGAACTTTGATGTCTATTTAAATTGCAAAACCTTGGACCTTGTTTAAAGTTTTGGGGGGGAAGGGCAAGGTTTATGCATGTTGGTGCTGTCATGCTGGAGATGAGAGAGTGCCTGATAATGTTCCCACCGTGGGGAGGCTTACCCCTTACTTCACGTGGGAAAATAATCCCAGGGAACACCAGTCATTTGGTTTGGCTATTTATGGAGCTACTTATTTATTCTTAGAAATCCTTTGAGGGTACTTTTGTAAACTGAGGATCTACTTTGTACAAAAGTGTCTAGATGGTCTGTGGCAAGTGATGTATTGCTTTGGTTGGCTGTACATGATTTTGGCGTGTTCTGGTGCCCTAGTAAAATTGATGGGTTTTTCTTTCTTTCTCTCCCCAAGATTTCTTTTGACCTAGCAGAATATACTGCTGACGTTGACGGGGTTGGCACTTTACGGCTCCTAGATGCTATTAAGACCTGTGGCCTTATCAACTCTGTGAAGTTTTACCAAGCCTCCACCAGTGAACTTTTTGGAAAAGTGCAAGAAATCCCGCAAAAAGAGACCACCCCTTTTTACCCAAGATCGCCTTACGGTGAGGAGCACCGATGGTGTGTGTGTGTAGTGTCTGTCTGTCTGTTCTCCCTGCTCATGTCTCAGGGCTGAAGTCATTTGGGTGTGAGATTAGAATGGTGATAGAGCTGAAATGACTAGACATGTCAAGAGGCATACCTTTATGAATTACTATATAAAAAGTATTTGCTGCCATTGCCTGGGGGTTGGAAATTAGCATCTCACTTCACAAGACCTTGTTCATTCAGCTCAGAGGTGAACAGCTCTTGAAGAAAGGGGGGTAGGGTGACTCTTCCTTCACAAAGGGCTGTGAGGTGCCGCAGAAGTGATAAGGTTTCATATTTTTTCTTGCCTAAATGAAAGACTCCCAAGAGCTCACTTCTTCCTTCGTGAACTCATATGAAATTTGAAACACTTATTAAAGCAATGGGCATGAAGGATTTTGGTGATAAAGTTTCAAATCAATTTGAGTGTTAAGGCACCAGATTTTCACTTTTATTCCTCCAAAGTAATTTTGGTTTTGTTTTGGTTTGGGTTTTTTTTTAATTAAGAGAGGTCACTACAGTGGCATATTTCACACGCTCTGACGGTGTCAATAATATTGTAAAAGAAAAAATGCTGTGCTTGAGTTTGTATAAGAAAACAAGTAAGAAAGTGCCCTGATGTTTCCTGGCCAGTTCAGAGGCTGCTCAGAATATGAGTATTTTCCCATTCAGCTGCTGTTTATTGGGCTGATTTTTTTTCTTTCTTAATATATACAATTTAGCACATATAGGGAGCTAATCAAAGGCTAAAGCACTCTGCTGTTGAAATGTGGACTTCACCCTGCATGTGACAGAGACCTGTGTGTGTGTGTCTGAGCTCTTTATGAGCCAAGCATTTATACAATAACGCTTCAAAATTGTTTTTACAGGGGCAGCAAAACTGTATGCCTACTGGATTGTGGTGAACTTCAGAGAAGCCTACAATCTCTTTGCTGTGAACGGCATCCTCTTCAATCATGAGAGCCCCAGAAGAGGTTAGAAAACCCATGTAAAACTGTTTCCAGCTTTGCCTATATCTGATTGGAAAAATGGAAGGATGCATCCACAGGTTTCATTTAAACTTGCCAGAATTCTGTAGGGAAGGTGTCATGACTTGCAGCCTACTCATGGCATTTGATGCAGCCCTCCTGGCAGTCTCAGAGCCTCAGAGCTCAAGAACAGCAGGTTTCCCTTTTGAGCATCATGATCCATTTTGTAGCTCACAAACACCAAAGTGAAGTTTGTGTATCTAATTTTGAGTCCCTCTTGATAATAAGTAAAGGCAAAAATGTTAATATGACACATTAAAAAAAGCAGGTTTTCTAAACATTTATTTGGGCAACTACATAACAGATGCAATTTCAGGTGTGACATACTTGAGATTTTAATTTGTGTATAAATGTTAAATTGAGAGGCAGAAATAATAGATGCTCCAAGTTCATAAGACTAATTAGTACAGCCTGGTATATTTTGAAAAACTTTTGAATTATGGCCCATTTGAATTATACCATTTTACAAGATAGCTTTTAACACATGGCTTTAAAATGCCTTTCAGTTTAATCCTTAATAGCAATGCAGCTTAAATTCCACTTAATCATCCCTTTTCCGCTTGCTGTACTTTATGAACAATTAATGCTGGTATTTAGTTTGAGTAAGACTCCATGGTTGATTAGAAGTCTCTTTTACAATGACAGTTTTCCTCTGCCCTTTAAGTACTGTGACTGTAGAAAACACTCTAAAATTAAACTTTAAATTAACACAGAAAACTGGATTCTCAGTGCAGAAGCCTTTTATTGTGGTCTGTTTCTAAATGAAAAATTAATTCAAGTTTTACAGGAATGTAATTATATAAATTATAGCCTGGCACAAAATATAAGAATTTTAATCATACTTAAATGATACTTATATAAAACAGACCATAATTTCAACTTTGCTTGAAAGGGGAAAAAAAAAAGAAAAAAAAAAAGAGAAAAAAGGAATCCATATGAATAGGATTTAAATATTAATTTCAGTCTTTGGGAGTCACAGCTGTGAAACCTCATCATACAGTGGGTAGGCAGCATTTACAGTAATTGGTGGTAGAAGTTGGTACGTCACTTCATTGGAGCAAATGAAGCACAAGTTCAGAATTAAAGGAGAATCATATTCACTAGATTATTTCATTTAGAAGCCCTAATACTTTGCTTTGTATTAAAGAGTTTACTGAGGTGTGTTCACAGAGTGCTGTAAAATAATGTTCAAGTTGCTCTGAGTTATCACTATGCAATCAAAACATTCTGACCATTGCAAGAAGTGTGGGAATATGCAAAAAAAAAAAAAAAAAAAATTAGCTTGGCATGATTTCTAATAACTCTAAGGAGCTACAAGATGAGATGGAAATTTTATAAGCACATATAGTGTTCCTGATGCCCTTCTATAGACTTGTGCCATTTTGAAGAAGGAAAACTTCATTACTCGTTGCTATTTTGATCCCTCTGATGTTTGTTCCTGCTTTAACACTGCTGCAATAGGGTTTTCAATCTGAGGCCTCTTTTAAACACATTAAATGTCCCCAAAGTCTGCACTTTGAAGTCTCAGGCTGTACTTTTCACTGTGTGTGTGTGCTGGGTGGAGTTTTAGGCTCTTTATGTCATGAACAGGAATCTTGTCCTAGAAATGGTTTCAGTTGTCTCTTTTTGCTTTAGCAGGAGTAGTTGCCATGAAAGCAACTCTAACCACAGACCAGTGTTACTTGCATAGTGTTTTTGTGGGAAAAGGCTTGGAAAACTATACAGATAAGAAAATGAAATAACAGTAGTCTTGAGATTGCTTCTTAATAGCCATTCATCACTTTCCCAATATTTTTGAAGATTGCATAGACACTTTAGGAGGAAAAGATGATTTAAGTGGAATTCCTAACTCCTATGCAAAGCTGGTAATATCCATGGGAGTTTTAAAATGTTTTATGGTTTAGCCTTATTTTATATTGATTTCAAAGACTGGGAATACCTAAATAAATCAATACATATTTTCTTCCAATACTATATACCGCTATTTCAGTTGGGTTAGAGTTATAATGAATTCATCAAATACAATATGCCATCGATGGTGATATTATTTGCATCTTATCCACACAAAACCTTATGCCCAGGAATCAGAGAAGAGCTGAAGGTTGCAGCAATAGTGCCACTTGCTGAGATGCAGAATTGATCATTCCTGGTGGACAGTGCATATCTGAATTTTAAATCATCCTTTTGAAAATTTCTGTGAAGTTTCTTACACAGAATGTATTTATGGGAAAAAACTGTGGAGACAAACTCTAGTATTCCTTGTATCCAGGGATCCATGAAATATGCTACACTGGAAGGCAATGGTAAAGATGAACAGAATGCATTTTTCATACCTTGGAGCCTGCATTGTGGGCAGTCATCAAATATAGAAATATTTGTATTTGAAGTACGGGTATCATGTTGAAAGATGGTGAATTGCAGTTGTCTGCCAAGTTGGTCACTGATGTTGAATTGAAGAAACAATTGTAAAGAGTTTTCCTTCATGATCTGTATTGTAATGATGTGTTTGGGGCTGCTCAAAAAATCTCTCACAAAGGTATTAGCAAAAATGGTTTGATATGAATTTATAAAAATGTGACTTAACAAAGTTTGATAGCAAGGTTCACTCTATTACTTACTACATGGATGAAACATACAAAGGAATACTGAATTAGAATCAATTTGGAATGATTTGCACAGAGACTAGAAGGGCTAAACTGTAAGGGAGACTCACTGAGTCATGAAGTTGCTGAACTCCTGATGCAGCTTAGATGCAGCTAGTTCCAGTTTTATTCTCAGACCTTTATGATGATTTATGTCTAAAAATATTAATTCTTTCATTCATTCATTAGTATTAATTTAGCATGCTATCAGCAACTTACTAAGCATCTGTTGTGAATAGGGGGTCTCTCCACTGGGATACCTCAGTCTCAGGTAAGGAATCTCAAACCCTGAGATGAGTCCCAGATCAAGGGGAAAGGTACTGAAAAGCAGTCCACTTGCAATTTAAGTAAAACTGAAACTGCATTTATAAAAAGTTTTTAGTAGAAAAGTCTTTCTGTCTCAAGTGACAACTTTGAGAGGTGTCCTAACTTAAGGTGGGGATCACTGCCACACAGGCATGCTGCCTTGCAGAGAGAGCTCAAAGGCTCATTTAGGCTGTCATATAAAAGTGGTTGGTTTGTAGATGAATTAGAAGTAATGGAAAAGGTATGCATGAGACCCTTTGGACCCTCATCTGTCTTTGTTTTTCACTAATTGAGTCTTGGAAAAACCACCCACTATTCATGTGTTCCAAGCATCAATACACCCTTGCTAAGTCTGCCCCTTTTGAGGATTTTCTGGAGGAGTTCTTGGCCCAGCTACAGCTCAGGTGTCTACATCCTTCAGGGCCTGTACCAAAATATTGCTACTTTGGATAAGGGGGCCAAGTGCATCTGCCACAATCCCTCTTTATATCATGTTCTTATTTTGTAGTGCTGGGGCAGCAGTGCACAAACCTAGTGAAAATGAGAGCTGTCTAATCTCAAGAGATGCTTCCCTATAAAAGGAATTCGGGAATCTACACCTTTTCCTTCAGAATGCCAATTCTTTTTCTGAGCCTTTCCAGCTTAAACTCAGAAAGGAGCACCAGTAGTTAATCTCATGTAGCCTGTATAATAATAGGGAAGTCTGCACAGAGTTCATAAGGGTAAAGAGTGCTTAATTCTAATATGAAAGGTTTCATATTTCTCAAAATTACAAAGGCTTGAGAGAAGTGCTGGATTTGGGAACATTTGGTTTTCTACTTTTATCTTGATCTCTAAGAGAAAGACAGTAACAGGAGTACTTCTAAGATGTGACGCCATAGTGTAAAGCTGAGCACTTAAGTTGGCTGTGTGGGCTTCCTTTTAAGTATGATGTTTCATGTTCTGACAATCAGAGTGACTTTACGAGAACACCAGTGATAAATTCTAGGTTGGCTGAACCCACTGCCTGAGCCTTATATCTTAATTTGGAAATAGCACAGCATTATTAAATTCCACACGTACTTGGGTCTATACTCAAGAGATACATGTGTATGTAACAGCAGAAAATATTATCTAAAATTTAATATGAAGTAAAATTAGTGGCTATGTTAGACTAATCTTAATAAAATATACATCTACTTTGAGCCTTTCTGTAGTACTTTCCTTTCTATTATTTTCTTTTTATTATACATACTGCCTCTTACTTGATTTTCCTTTCATTTCCCTTAGTCACTTTTACAGTTTTGTAAGATGAAATAGTCACTTTTTGACCAGTACATATTTTTCAGCTCACATAAATCAACACAGCTGCACTGAAGTGAGTAGGGTCGTGTTGATTTATGCCAGCTGAGGGTCTGGCATAGTACTTCCAGTAATAGTCTGGTAATGTAAGATAAGCATGACTTGCTTCCTTTGGGGAAAAGATCTGTATTAGCAGTATACTTTGCTAAAGCTAATTTCTTCAGTTACTTTTGTCCATTTTATCCAGGTATAGCACAAGAGTTTCCTGATTTATGGTCATGCCAAAGTGAATGGGATCTTCCATTTCTGAAGCTTATTTATTGTCTAAGTTTGACATGAGCTGAAAAGCAATGTGCTCTATAGCAGCTACAGGCAGTCTCTGTATTCAAAAATGAGCAAACAAAAAACTTTTCCAGAACAGTGTTTGTTTTTTTTCCCCTCCCCCTCAGAACAATATTATGGGATACCGAATGGAGGAGGTGGTGGCAATCAAGTTGATGGTGGTAGTTGAACATGTCTCCCAGTGTTACCAGTGTGGAATTGTTTGCCCTATAGCAATATTGGAAAAGACATTTCTGTTCAGTGAGATGATAGTTTTGACAGTGGAAGAGTGAGGCAATTAGCAAGTCTAGTTTTCAGGAAAGCTGGGGCTTGATCCAAACCTTTTTTACTTCACTGGAAAGATTCCTGTTCTTTTGTTGGGCTCTGGATCTCACT